AATACTAATAATAGTTGCTGGGATGATAGTGATAATGACAATGATAATAACAACATCAGTGATAATAACAATGATGATGATTGAAATAATAATTATTAAAATAATTATAATATTAATAGGAATGTTTCTATTATTACTAATAATGATAATATTAGCAATAGTTGTGGTGGTTGTGATAACAACAACAACAATAATGATAGTATTACTTATTAATAATATTAGTAATAGTGATATTTTAAAAAATCCTTTTTAGCATGGTCTCATGAGAAATAAATAGTTCTTCATCTATATACCAACACATATATTCTCCTATGAACTTTTTTTGTAAAAAATATATTATTACAACAACTGGATCAAAAAACTTTTTAATTTTTACACCTTTTGCGTGGGCACCTAATATCGTCTCTATTAAAATTTTTGGGATTAGATATTGCATAATTAATAAAATCCTAAATCCTATTACAATAATTCATCATCCACAATCCTTGAGGTGAATCTCGATACATCCATAAATGATCATCTATCACTTCTATTGAACCTATATCAAATAATAATAACAACATATATTAATTAATTACATTAAGTAAATAAATTTATAAAAATATTAGTATAGTTTAAGATTATTCATCCTACTTTAATACTTCTCTTAATTTATTATCAATTATCTACGTAAATACAATTTTGTACATATTTATAGAAATTATAACTCGGCAACAAAATTGACAAAGTATAAAATAGACTCGTTAAACAAGTCATTATTTATTTCATCATAACACGTCTAAGTTGATAATTCAATATAAGTTTGAATAATTTACAAAAAAAAAATATTTAAAACAAACCATAACATGTACAAAATCATAAATCATTACAACAAGTTTGTTTGAAAAAAAAAAAACAATAAAACAAATAAACACCCAAATAAAATACATACTAAAAAAATATGTAGTAAAAAAAATTAACATTTTAAAATTGTGTTCATATTAAAAAAAAAATGATAGATTTATTTAAGATGAAAAATCCTCAATAAAATTTCAATCAAGATACGAATGTTGTCAAATATAATGTTGTTATGATTGAAAAAGTTGCGAGAGAATTTCATATTAAGTATTATTGATAAATTTTTTAATGAAATTATTATGATGATAATTTTATCGATAATTTTATCAATATCAATGTCGTATCATTATACAATTTGTCTGTTTGAATTTTATTGTAATTTTATCGATAATGATATTTATAAAAACTTACATATCTTTATATTTTTTTGATTTTTTTAAATTCTTTCTATTTTAACTGGGGTTTTCTTTGTATATATTAACTATATATTTTTGTTAATATCTATGGATGGAGTTAGTGATAGACAAATGTGGTTGGTAAAAATCACAGTAAAATAACAATGGAAATTTTATTATTACACTTATCTAGTCATAATTACCTTTGGATTTTTCTAAAGTTTACAATAATGGGAAATAACAACAATTGATTATAATAATAAAATAAGAAAAAATATTTAAAGAAGGGTGATAAAAGTTTGTTTAAACAGACTAAAATAAACAAGAAAAAGTTAAAATCCATCCGAATAGCATTTGCTTCGGATAAACATAGAGACTAATAAAGGTATTATAATTAAATACAAACTTTCTTGTAAGATAAATTATAATATTGAACCTGTTAATCTTTAAGAAAATCATAAGACTTGAAGATAATTTATTTCCCAAGAACGAACTTACTAATACTTTTTTTATAAAATTCTATTAAAAAAAGTTGCATATAAAATCCATTCATAAACATCTGTTTTTTTTTTTTCATTAAAGAGATCTATTACCATTGGTAATTGATAAATTGATAATTTTATCATGAAAGAAATGTCATTGAGCTAGAAACCCTGATTAGATTAAAGATCGATATATATATATATATAGCCACAAAGAAAAGAGAATATTCTACTTCGATGAACAATTTGAGAAATCAGCCAAATGGAAACCAGAATTGGCAAGAAATCAACTTGTTTTAGAAATCCCAGTAAATGTTTGAGGTCTCTGCAGGTTGATGAATGCACAGATCAATGATTGTGTTGATGATTGACACTTGGCCAAGCTCTTGCCCACAAGTAAGCATGGAGCTTTAAATATTACTTAAATGCTAAATGGTTGGTTAATCCAAGGGCCTAATTGGCGATTAAGGAAACATCTTTTGTCTCCATTGGACAGCAGAATCTCTTTCACGTGGTCTCTCCCGATCACAGGTTTAGGCACAAAGTCCCATATTTAATAATTTTAATTTTAATTTTAGCGTGTTGGTTTGTGTAAACAATTACCTGATATAGTACGAGGCTGCTTTAATAAAGGGTTTCCTGTGCGATAATGTCCTCTCGTTTTCCTTCTGTTATTGGGTGATTTTTTTTTTAATTTTTTAGTAATCAAGATTAGAACTGGCTTAGCAGTTCAAGCTTATCTACCCTTTCGTGTTTTCTATTTCATATTATCAATAGAAATCATAAAAGCAAAATATAATTTGGTCAGATCACAAGTCTCGTGAGATTAAAAATCCACGATTTGCATTCCATAACTTGACCTAGCACTGAAAGGAGCTTGTCTTTTTTTATTATACCTGGGTTCGAGTCCTGGCGTGCACGCCTGTCATCCTCACAGTGCCTTACATGCCTATTGAGTTTGCAGGGTATCTCTCATAAGATTAAAAATCCACGATTTGAACAAAGCTTCTATTTCTTTTTTAATTTCAAATACGCGCAAGCTGACCCAGACACCCCACGTAAATCAAAAAAAAAAAATCCACAATTTAAACAAAGCTTCTATTTCTTTTTTAATTTCAAAGATAAATTATATTATATTTGTATTGTTGGATTGGGCACATCAGAATTATATATTGGTAATCTTTAATCAATTATCTCATATCAAAACTATATCTTTCTCTAGCTAAAACTTAGGTAAATTATCCATATTTGAATAGGTAATGCTTTCATGGTTTGTTTGCTTGTTTTTTTTTTTTGTTTTTTTTTTTGCAATCATCCCTTTGAATTCCAATAAAAGATGATGATGTGAATAATAAATGCATTGATTATATTTCAATACTCCAATATTATTATCCATTAAATTTTTGTTTGATTTTATGTTTAAAGAATGTTTTTTAAAAAATGATTTTTTAAAATTAATATTTTTTAATATTTTTATATTATTTTAAATATTAAATATCAAAAATAATTTTTAAAAATAAAAAATATTATTTTATAATCTATTTTTTACAAAATAACAACTATTATACTCTTAATCTAATAAAAACAAGATAAATTTATATATTAAACTACACACTACCAATACCCCCTTGACATAATGGTATCATGAATCAACAAGAGGGGTTATGAAAAACGTGTACCTAACCTCCCCATGGCCAAAATGTCGAGAGAGGGCCCTCTTTAAAATAAAAAAAAATGTATGCAAAAATGATGGACAATATTCCGATCCGCAAGCCGATATAGAGTGGGAGAGAAGCTTTACTCATGTGGAAGCAATTTATGGCATTGGAGGATAAACCACTATAAAATATCTGGACACAGTCACATCGGTATATACAAGAGAGTACTTGAACCCTAGCTAGTAAGATCCAGAAATAAAAATTATTTGAGAGTTGATGTACTTCGTTTTCCAGAAAGAATATTCAATTATTTTACTCAAAAGAATTTGATATGTGCTTATCATTATTATGTTTGTTATTTTACTTTAATTAAACTTTCCAATTATCACTAATTTTATCGAAAGTTAAATATTTATTTCCTTATATCACGTTATAGTATGTTTTAACGAGAAATATTATAAGATTTATTGAATAACCAGTAATATTCTAGATAAAGATAGTAGTATTATTATTTTAACAGAGCATATGTTATGAATTTTTTGAGTTGGGTCCATCTGCCTGGATATAACAATAACAGAGTCAAATCAACAAAATTGTTTTTTGCAAGGACTAGTTTACGTATTGGGAACAAACACAGGGTCTAAAAATGGGCATGTCCAGTTGTCATCCTAAAATAAAAATAAAAAAATAAAAATAAAAAAGAGTAAGTGAATAGCCTATACGCCGTGTTTTTGTGGCAGCACGTGTCGATAATCTATTAGATAGATAGCTAATATCTCAGCTACCATAAACACAGCAAGCATTGATCCAGGAACAAGGTACGATGATTATATTTTTTCTCCACTTGCTGGTGTAGCTCTATTAGAATACTCGCTTTCAGCTATTGACATTTGTCTTTAACAATCTCTTCTCTCCTTCTCAACCCTATATTTGATTCTCTTGATCCTGAACAATGCTCTTTTAGGACACCTCAGTTTAAAGGCCGTTTGGAAAGTAAAGGTGTTTTTTTAATATTTTTATTTATTTATTTTTGTATATTTTTTTGTAAGTTGATGTTGAAAATAATTTTGAAAAAATAAAAAATATTATTTTAATATATAAAAATAAACAACTACTGCACTCTTTAGATATAACTTTTTTAGATATTCTCTTAAAAAAATATATTTTTAACATTTGATTGGGCAAAACAAATCCACCACTCTAAACTTCCCAGACAAAACATAAGATTGGCATCCTAAACATTTCTACAAAAGGATAGCGGCTGCTCTTCCTCCTTCCAAAATCCTTACCTTAATCCAAGTAAGTTTCTTTCTACGTTTCTTTTTTTTTTTTTTTTGATAAATAAGTAGGCTCTATTTATGTACTTTTCTTTCATTAGCTATGTATATGAACTTATTTTTATTTTATTCTTACTTATTAATTAGCCAGTTACATATATATTCTCCTATACTTGGATTAATTCATATCGTGTCTTCTTTTCTATTCATAAAAAAAAAAAATCATGTTTTAATTACATTTCCTATAGTTTGTGATTCTCAGCTACTTACCTTCTTCTAATTTTTGGAACGATCCCAACTTTCCTGTTTTTATTGATATATATCATTACTTTGGTTTTTAGGGATTATTGATCTAACTGCTAATTCAATAAGGATTTCCGCTGAAATATTTTTTATAGTTAACGTGTTATGAATTCAGATCTTGGATCTATCTAGTCTAGCAATAAAAAAGCAGGGTGGGAAAATCCCAAAATAGCAAGATGGGGAGAGGGAAGATTGTGATACGCAGGATCGACAATTCGACAAGCAGGCAAGTTACTTTCTCCAAAAGAAGAAGTGGGCTGCTTAAGAAGGCTAAGGAGCTATCAGTCCTTTGTGATGCGGAAGTTGGAGTAATTGTCTTCTCCAGCACAGGCAAGCTCTATGATCATGCAAACACTAGGTCAGACCTCTCGCTCTCCTCTCGCTTTATATATTTTGGTGTATATACAGTATGAATAAATAGTTAGTTCGCATTTATAGATGTAATTGCTCTTTCTCCTCCGTCTTTTATCTCTTTTTCCTATAATTTGTATTGCAAAACAAGTAGTTCCCATGTTCCTGTGAATAGATTTTTTTTATTTTATTGTTACATCAAAGTAGTACAGCTTCCAAAATATGGTTCTGAGAGATAGGATTAGTTGGTTTTTATTACATAAAATCAAGTTACGGCTTTGTGTTGCAAGCTAGGGCTTAATTTCCAGCCGCGAAGACCTTTCTCATATGCATGCATGTTATATATTACGACAGGCATCATTTTCATCAGCGATTCTGAAGGTGATCGGTCTGGTAATAGTTGGTCAGTGCTCAGTTTATTTAGGTATAGAAGCAGCTTGCGCGCAGATGGTAATGGCTGCTTAGTTGGAGTCTGTAAGCACAAGGAGCTAGCATCTAGTTTGCACACCGTAGAAGGGAAATCCTTATTGGTTAGACCAAACATAAGATAAAATCTTATTACCAGTATGGATAAGCATTGACTGGATAATATTGTAGCCATAGTACTTATCATGTACATTTTAACACTTACTTTTTACATGTAACGTATGTATTCGCTTCAATTCTTACAAGATCATCAGTCTGGTCAGATAAATCAATAGTAAGTTAGTGCAACTGTATTACAAAGTTTTGGATTTTGAAAATATTTTTGAAAGAATTTATTTTTTAAAATAAATATGTTTTTATATTTTTAAATATTTTGATGTATTGATATTTAAAATAATTTTTTAAAAATAAAAAATATTATTTTAATATATTTTTAAAATAAATTTTAAAAAATAACCACCACAGTTAAAAACTAAAACACCTCTGTTGAATTCCCTCTTTCACACCTTTCCGACTATAACAAGCTATACGAAGAAACGAATGCAGACTTCAAGATATGGCCAGACCATTAAGAGAATACATATATAACTAGTATTGTTTAATAAAATCATTCTGGATTTTTATCCAATAGTTTAAATTTTTTAGTCATATATCAGGATTTGGATATAGTCCGAATTGATGATCTTTCTTCAAATTAACCAAATTAATAATTTAAAATATGTAAGATATATTGGTCTTGCAAGTCTCAATCCTCAATTAGATTTTACTTGAAGAGGATAAAAGCTAATCTGATATAAAATTATTATTGAAGTTTCTTAAATTTAGGCATTAAATGGTCTTTTAAGTACTAGCAATTTGTATTAACTATACATTTAGAATATAGAATTCGAGGGAACATCTAGAAATAATTTCCCTTACATTATTTTGTGAAACATTGCATTCTCAATGATTCATATATAGTATAATTCTACACAAAGTAGCTCTATTGTGTGGAAAAATTCAATGAAATCTTCAATTATTAGCCGTAAATTGCTAAAGACGAGACTCCAACTCGAGACTGAATCCCACACATATTCACAGTAGCTCTTAAAGAGTTCGAATTTGCCTTGTTCTTTCTAAATATTCACCCCTCTTTTTTCTTCTTTTTTTCCCGGAAAATTGTCCATCCATCCATATATATAGTATAAACTACATTATAGTTTTTTACGATCGTGTATATATGAAATTATATCTTGTGTTGCTCCAATCTTTGATCTAATATAGTTAAATATATACCTACCAAATTAAATAGTGTTTTCATCTTTGCTTTCCATTCCTATAAATTAACCCTAGTTCCACACTTGCTCGCTTCACTTGATTTTGCAAGAGCGCCACTAAATTACAAAATCATTAGTATTATTTGGATATTTAGATTGCACCTCTCTCTCCCTCTCCACCTCTCTTTTCTCCTCACCAGTACGTACCGTCTCTCTGTACTATTGCGACGTTAAGCGATGATCTTCTCATGCCAAGATAATTTATAAGCAACATAGAAGCTTCCTTGGAAGAGTAATGTCCACGCGCAATGTATGTCAGTGATCAGTAGAATCTAATAATAATGAGAAAGCTTTGCAACGTGATTGAATAGTTATGTGCATGGCCTCCATGCTCTTAGCAAAGCATGGCATTAGGTTTGTCAATAATTGCTATTGAAAACTTGCACCACGGCAAAGAATCTTGATGATAATGAGGATTTCGAACCTTTTAGCCTGACTATTATTGAGGTATAGAATGAAGTTTTCACCTGATCAGCTCATAGGAATTAATCTACAGGCGAGGTTCAAAGGAAAAGGCATCGATCGATACCTATGTTGCGACTTGGGAATCAATTGATATGCACCTGTTACACACATTAACAGAAGCAATTAAACTCTTAAATAGTATACAAATTGCATGGGATTGAAAGAAATATATAACCTCAATATAGTTTAGCCTAATGGTTAAGAAGGTACGTATAATCCTTAATTTTCTTGACATTTCTAGATAATAAGTAATTTAAATATTTAGAATTTAGATCCTAAAAATACTCTAAATAATAATAATATACCCATACACATATTATTTGAAGTAATATATACCATCGTTTTTTATGGAACAAATTTTATAAGTAATGATGTAAAAAATATGATGATGATGACATGAGGTGATAGTAATTGTCGTAGTTGGGGGGTGATGGTGGTGCCCACGGGGATAAAGAATCAAAGTAAAGATAATGTGGTGGTGCGGCGGGAGTGACAACATTACTTGTCCAATTAATGGATATCTAACAAAATCCAAGGATGAGCATGGAGGCATTTTCCTTTTGAATGCCCCTCACCTCTCGTAAAGAACTCGAAACCAATTTATTTTTTAAAATTAATATTATTTTCGAATTTACTTTTTAATTATTTATATTTAATAATGTATTAGATTTGAGATAAAATTCAATGTTTTATATGAGCTTAATATTTATTTTTGTATCTTGTATCTGCACTTCAAGATACTATATATTTTTTTAATTAATGAAAATATTCAAATTTATCTCATAAATGAAAAAAAAAAATTCCTTATCCAAAACGTGATCAATATAAAAAAGGAATGAAGAAAGTATTACTCACTTTATCATTTCTAATGCATGTTTGATGTTGTGTAACTACTACTTTTTAAAGTATTTTTTGTAAAAAGAAATTGAATTAATGTTTTTTTAGATGTTTTTCAATGATTTTAATGAGTTGATTTAAAAGATTAAAAAAATCTAAAAAAATAATTATTTTAACACATTTTCATTTGAGAAATACTTTTAAAAAATATAATACATTGCATTACTAAACACGCAATTAATAATAAAGTAAGTTTTATGGTGGCAAAGATGACAGTGGTGGAGGTGGATGGTAACACGAGTGGAATGTGAAACAATCCAAATAAATAAAGAGAAATGCAAAAATAAAAGATGAGAACGCTAGAGTTTTATTGATATTGTATGATGTAATCACAATAATCTAAAGAAATAGGTTTAATCTAAATACAAACAGATTATATATAGGCTAAACTAAAAAGAAAATAAAAAAAATATTATTTTACCCTTAATAAATAAAACAAAATAACCATACATTTCTTAGCATCTCCTCTCAAATTCACGATACGACAACTATAAGCATCGAGAGTTTACCAACAAGAAAAAAATTAAGAAACAAAATTCGACTTGGTAAGGAAATCTATAATTTGTAAAGAAGAAGAAATAAAAGGCAAAGTAATGGTATCATACTTGAAATAATAATGAGTAAGATGAAAATTGATCTCAATATATTTAGTTTATTCATGAAAAACTGAGTTGTGAGCAATTTGAATAGAACTTTAGTTGTCACAAAATAATACATTGGAGTGAGATGAGAAAATCAAACTCTTATATTTGCAAGTAACCAACATAACCAAATAATCTATTTAGTAATAGATGTCATAACACAATATTCTATTTTGGTTAAAAATTAAAAAACAATAAATTATTTATTGCTCTTATAAGAAAATCACCTAAAAAATATAGAAACTAGTAACAGATTTGTGCTCTGTATGATCATTGTTATGATCAACATCAAAATATGTACGCAGCTCTAAGGAAGAGGTGGATGGACTTAAAATACTATAAAAGACTATACCTCTAAAATATCACAAAATACGAAGAACAGCGGCTCAATAAATGGTGGTAGGAGAAGCAACAAATTAACTAACAATATAAACAATATGCAATATCTAAATAAGTAATAGTGAGATATATCAAGCTCTCAACAATAATCCGGTATAAAGTAGGATTTGACAAAGGTAAATCATCAGAAAAAAATATTTTGTGTTAACATCAATGAGAATATTTACAGTCTTATTATCAATAAATTTAGCATGCTCAATAACATCTGCAACATATTTCAACCTGTATCAATACACTTGATAAAAATAAAAAAAACCATGATTACTAGAAACAAATATAAAAGAAAAGATCACAACAAAAAATTTCTCAAACCAAGCATGGGGTGCTTATTTGAGAATAAATAATATTTTTGTTAAGCTTACAAATATACCCAGAGTCATGTGAAATACCAAGAAAATATGCCATATAAACTTCTTCTTGAAGATCTTTATTAAAGAAGGTATTTTAACATTAGATTGAGAGATATGCCACTAACAAACCAAAACTACTATAATAAAAGTACATAACATCATTATTTTTTCAATAGGAGAAAATGTCTTATTATAATCCATATCATACTATTCAAAGTATCCTTTTACAACTAACCTAGCTTTGTATCGCTTAGTAGATCCGTTAGAATTAGTCTTGATTCTATACACCTAACGATAACCAAGAACACTCTTACCAGAAGGTAGAAGAACCAAATCTTAAGTATTTATCTTATATAAAGCAGAAAGTTTCTCATCCATAGCTTGCTGTCAAAGATAATCAAGAATTCCTCTTTATAGGAAGAATGCTTAAAGAGACAATAAATAAAAGCTAAAAAAATGTAAAAGATAAAGAATTACAAAAATAAGCAAAATTTAGTAACTTTATGGACTTAA